GGATACTGCTGCTATTAGACACAACTGACCACACTCCAGTTATGGTAGTAGTAATCAATTAAATTTCTAGCAAGACATCCAGATGATACACAAGAAACCGCTTTGTCAAATTTACAGGAACTTAATTAACCTTGGCTCTCCAATTCCCAAAGTTCTCTAAATGAAGAAGAGATGCTGGCTATATAGCCTTCTTCTTGTGAAATGAGTAGTCAATGACACCATCATAACGCATTTTTTTGAAGTAACCATGATATCATGGACAACCAGAAGTCCGTTTACAATATCCCCTTCTACAGGCAAATGGCTCTACTTGCCAGAGGAGTTGAATCTCGTCTCTAGAAATCTCAGTGTCTCATAACACAGTGTCTTTGAATATATTTTTGAGTTGGGCTTTGCTTCTGTTTATGCAAAAAATGTTACCTCCATAATTACTGCTTTTACATTTTTGCTAAGGACAAGTGGAAGTCTTGACCATTTCCTCTTCCTTCATTTCATTGGATTGCTTGGTCTTAGATGGTTTATACCATGGGTAGCTTCCTTGTCTCCAGCTCCTTTCTTCTACCATTCTGTTTTTCCCCACTAAATAATGCCCTTTCAGCTGCTTTTTTAATCAAAGGAACCTTGGATACAGACAATGGTCCTGTTAATATTTCATTTCATGTTCCAGTTTCATATTGCAGATATTCTGGGGAAAGTATCACAAAGGCAGGGGTGAGAACTGAAATGCTTTCTCTCTGTTGAGGTTTGTTTTAATAATGAAAACGAACCAGCTCCTAACATTTTGAATATGTTGGCTTAGAGCCCATAACTCAAAGGACTGAGGAGCAGAAGAGACCACCAATATTTCTCATGATACCCCCTGCCCTCTAATAGAATTTTTTTTTTTTTTTTTTTTGTTATAGTGAGCTACCAGGCAGTGTGGACACAGCCACTAGCACAATCAGTGAGCCCTAATGTCAGGGGTAACTTCCTTGGCACTTGGAAGTTCTGGAAGAGGCTTTAGTTTGAGTTCTAATCTTTCTTTAGTTCTTCACTTTAATAAGGTGATTAAACCCACAATTTAGAAGTGTCAGCCAAAAGGAGGGTTAAGATAAAGAGTTGATAGTCATGTTTCCCTTGGGACAGAGAAGTGTTCTTAGAGAGCTCCTTTTCCTCCACTCCACTATCTCCATTTGTTTCCATTAATTTGACAAAAAAACAGTTCTACCTTCTCAATGTCAAAATGTGGCAAGTTCAGTGAAGATAAAAAGTGAGTAAATTAGAAACAAATGCAAAAACAAAGTTAATTGGAAAAAAAAGAGAGGTTGCTATAATTTTATTGCTTAACATAATTTTAATATTAAAAAATTAGAAGTAAATAATTTTTTCATATGGCCCATGGAGTGCCTAGGTAGTGGTTTTGGTGTCTACATTTATCTAGGTTAAAACAAAAAAGGTGGATTTCTGTATGGATGACCAGTATCTAGAGCTAGCAAGAAAGCAGTAAATTTCAAACATTCTCTGATTGTTAAAATACATATGAATTTCAATGCAGTAGAAAATAATTTTATTTGGTCTTACTATGAATTTTCTTGCAAAATTTTTCTAGTTTGGCTTCTGCTTTTTGGAATATATGCAACATGAGCTTGATTCTGGGCAGAGGTTTCTTTGGTTTAAGTATAGCGTTCTTTAGAAAGACATCTAATCCAAATGAGGAATGAGTATCTCAGCTTTTTCTGAGTTTTATTTGTAGAAGGCAAATGCCAAGCTTCACAGAAGTCAGACCACATTTTGAAATTAATCTTGTTCCAAGGCAATGAATTTTCACCTGAATATATTCAATGAAACCTCAATTTATGTACATCTTTGCAACATGGAAATTCTACTAAGATTAATCCCACTGAAGTTCCAGTAAAACATAAATCCTAATTTACTTGTGAGGTTGAAAGGAGTTTAAGTTACACTACAATAGTTACACTACATACATCACCAACTTTTAATTTTTTTTTTTTAAATTTATTTTCATGGCTGAATTTAGCTCCATCATACTGCGCTTATCCTATTTTTCAATGGCAAAAACTTGGTCATGAATTTTTGCCTTTATCTTGTGGAGGCTGGAATTCTTCTCAGGATATGCCTGAATCACATATTCTATATTAAGCCAAATAAAATTAAATGTTTCCTTAAAATTAAGCTGATGCTTATTCTTTGCTTAATAAAAATGAATCAAGCATGCGTTAAGTATTTACTGGGATTGAAGTCTGCTTGCTGAGTTACAGGATAGACTTTTTGGATTAGTTTTTAACAGTCCTCTTCATACAAACACAGATGGAGCATTCAAATGTCCTGATTGCTCACATGTTCTCATGATCTGTAGCCAGGATCTGGTATGGATTTTTTTCAGTTCAGTTAGAACAGGACTTCATCTGGAAAGCAGCAGATGGAATGAAGGGAGGGAATCCAAGTTTTTAATCCTTTTTTTTTTTTTTTCTTTCCTGAACAGATGTTGTTGAGATGATCAAGCTACAGAGCCACAAATCCAACCAAAAAATGGGTAAAGTAATATATACAAACATATGCTGATATTTGGTATATGGCTAATCAGGCAGGCTACAGTCACCTGCTGCTGACATCAATATCCACCTTGCATATGACGGAGATGACAGGATTTTTAAGGTTATTGTAGAAGAAGAATTTAATTCTGTGTTCTGTTTTGGTTTCTCAGTCATAAGAAAAGCTAACCACAACACTTAAAATTACTTCAGTAACAGTTAAATGGTCCAGCACAGGACTAAGAAGTTGGTGAACAACCACCAAAAAGTACATGGAAGGAAACTATACTAAAACGTAGGGAAGGTTATAGCATATGGCTCAGGTTCACAGATTTCAGTTTGGGGCAATAATCTCACTGACAGCTCTCAGGTGGGATACTAAATTAATGGAAGAGCAATTTTATGGGATAGGATTTGCTGCTGAGTTAAGGAGCAATATTTTTCTGACTATTAATTTTCAGCAAAAGATAAGGCTATTAAATTAGAATTTCAGGATATGCTGATCTCGCCATGGTGGTCATGATGAAGTAATTCTGAGTTTGTCAGTGATATACTTATTAATGACTCTACCTCTTTAAAAAGAAAATTCAAGACTTTTATGACAATTCCTTCCAAGTAAAGTATATATGAGACATAGTTCATTTTTTATTTTTTGTAAAACTCCCCAGTTAAATTAAATATACGCAAAACTCTGAAAAAGTTACTAATTATAGCTTATTAAAGCTTGTTCTACCTAGTAACTTCCCTGTTGGAATTCAGTAATTATGAACGAGGGGGATCCCAGCAGGCACCTGTTTTACACTTTAAAGCTGGGAATTACTGCTCTAGAGTAACACTTTGTGTTATGTAACATCAGTCAAAGGAAGAATTATACAGCGATACTTCTGTTATCTTGTCTGGGAAGACCAGAAATGGAATTCAGGTTGGATGGGACAGGTTGTTTTCACTGTACAAACACTAATGACAGCAATATCCATGGGCCTAAAGAAACAACATAATATGCAGAATACTTACACTGAATCAATATTCACCTTTTTTTCAAAAAATGCTTCTAGATCCTTAGATGAAAAGTTTAACTGCAAACTATTATATTACATGTAATAAAAAGATTCTGGTACCACTTAGGTCATATTTGACTGACCATATGGAATAAAATTTCCTTAATTTTTTGAGGTATAAACAGACTACAGTAAAAGAAAACAATAAAAGATGTAAAAGTTTGAGGGTTTTTTAAATGCAGGAGGAATAAAATCTAAGGAAATTCACCATGAATAGGTGACCCATATAGACTAAAGGGTCTATAATTCATTAATTTTTGTTCCTTAGAAAACAATCTTAAATCTAAAACAGTTAAAGACCAGAAATGCCTAGAAAATATTTTTGTGAGGAAGATTGAAATTCTCTGATTTGACATACTCCAAGTTTCTTGTTTTTATGGCGTTCAATATCTTATCAAGATTTGGGAATACCTTCTGGATACTCATTAGGTTTTTAAATGTTGAATACAATAATTCATTTTATAAAACTGTTATAAGCCCTACATACTACAGCTTCCTTTAGACAAAGTAAAAGACATTGCTTCTACCATGTCACACATGTAGTGGTGAATTCCAGCAAAACCTGTCCACATGTCTAGCATTTTCTAAAGAGACACCTGTCCTTGTACTGACAAGATGCCAGAAAGAGACAGAATTTATGTTGACAACATAAATTCTTATAGAAATTATGGTAGCCAGGGAAATAAATTTTAAGCATTTATTGAAGCCAAATCTTCAAGTTCTGCATTTTAAAATAGATAGCAATATTCTCTGTAGAGAAATTGTCAAAAAAAAATTTTAAAAAAGCAGGTAAGAATGGAAAAGTAAGGATAGTCTACACAAAGCTATTTGGATACAAAGGAGTTAAGGCCACAGAGTTGAAGCACAGAGACAAGAAGCATTAATTTCACAAGAATGAAATGTAAGGCTACGTGGCAGCATGCAAAATAATCAGAAGGAAATGAAAGGAACAAGATGCAAAGCATTTTGGTTAACTTCTAAGATCATATAACCTTGTAAAGCTCCTAGCCAGCTATCACCATGTCAGAAAGGATAATGAGAGAATTATAGAATAACGGAGGTTTTAAGTCATCTCATTCAATCTCCAAGAAGAAAACATAATAAAAAACACAGAAAGCACAACAAAATCCCTGCAAAGAAGTGGGGAAAAAATAAAAAGACAACACAATAGAAGGGGAATAGATGGGCAAGTACAGGATGAGGAAATGCTGATAGCAATAACTATCAAAAACAATGTAATGGGATAAAAGCCAATCCAGAACAGATTTCTGGTTAAGATCTAAACAGTAAGTCATTCAAGTGGAAACAGAACCAGAAGTTTCCAATGCAATTACAATAAATTGTCTAAATAGTTTCATAATATTCCCAGAAAGCATTATGATGTGCAGAGAACAAGACTGGACTCACTTTGCAGGGAGATGCTGCTTTAATTTAGCATTTATCAAGAGGACAAATCATAAACAGTCCAGACAATTTTCCAAAGGTACGGTGCAGAATACTTGATGTTAATGGGATTTTTGTGTTCTAATTTTGACGAAGAGAGTAAAAGATGGAAAACAATCACAAAACAAAAGTAAAATTTCATTTCACTTATAATCAATCTCCAGTCAAGTGCATGTTCATAGGCATTAATCATATGCTGGTAAACCGAACAGTTCTGGTTTGAAATCTTCCATGGACTTCAGCAGCAGTGTTGCTTCCTTTTTAAGATCTGGTGCTAAATTTTCATCTGGAATCATAACCACTTGCATTCCTGCTGCCAGGGCTCCTTTGACTCCAAGTGGTGCATCTTCAAACACAAGACACTGAGGAGCAGAGAAGTCAGGGGAAAAAAAAAAATGTTACTATTAACTTTAAATAGTTTGTTTTAAAAGAGAGAATGATTCCAAATGGAACTTAGTAGGAAAACTGAATTCCATTATTAGCTTAGCCACTCCTAATCAGAACAAGGGCAAACCTTTCAGTTCAAACATCTGCATGGTAATTTACCTTTAATTGATTTCAATTCAAAAAACATCAACAGACATATTTAAGTCCCAGAAACTTGTTATCCAGATGTTCCTAAGTGCTATGTTTTTTATAGGGATGGGTTTAATCAGAAGCTTAAAGTGAAGTTAAGCAAGTGCTTAAATACCTTTTCAAGCAGGCAATTTAACTTTTCCAAACCAACTTTATGACCTGCAATATGGCAAAAGCAGTGCTTTCACTTACAGGTGTGGCATTTCCTACATATACAAGATGGGGAAGATCACTACCTAGGTCAATAGTAGGACTTTGGATGAGTGGAGAGTAAGAGAGAAATCACTTATCAGAAGGATGCTGTCAAACTCATACTCTATTTGCTTAATTCTTCAAAAGCAATGATGAGAAAGAAAATCAGCAATTAGATTGCAAGGTTAGATTCAGAGAAGAGACAGTTTAGTTAGGCAGAAGTTCCATGCCTTACAACAGTCACAATCATTCAAGATTGCAGTTTGGATGCGAAGTTGTTAAAAATAATAATACATTATTTATGTGGATTTTGTAATTTAAATTCAGAATATGGAAAAATAAATATATAAGATAAATATATAAAAATCACATGTTCTGAAATTTTATATAATAAAAGATAATGCTTCTGGAGTTCATTCCAGAATTTATATAATGAAGCGTCTCTTTCTGCCATTATATAGTGTTCACTTCAAATTTTTGGTTATGGACAATCCAAAGCAGCTTTTGGCATCCAACAATCAGAAAAATTATGACCTATACTGACACATGGTCTCTGCAATTCATACTGCATTTATTATCAATATTATTAGCACTGCTACTGCTACTAATGCCAAAATCACTGCCACAAGTAATTTCAGTAATTGAAAACAGGTGTTGGGATGGTTAGGGCAATTTTCCCCAAATCTAGTAATCATAAGGCAGTACAACTCTGCCTTACCACAGAGAAGAGGGGACTGAGGGGAGACCTCATAGCACTCTACATCTTCCTCACATGAGGAAATGCTGGCACTGATCTCTTCTCTGTGGTGACCAGTGACAGAACCCGAGGGAATGGCTTGAAGTTTTGTCAGGGGAAGTTTAGGTTGGATATTAGAAAAAGGTTCTTCATCCAGAGGGTGGTTGGGCACTGGAACAGGCTCTCCAGGGAAGTGGTCATGGCACCAAGCCTGACAACATTTGGACAGTGCTCTCAGGAACATTATGTGACTCCTGGGGCTGCAGAAAATAAGGGATGCATAATGTTTGTCTGTTCTGGCTGTTCTCTAAGAGAATCAAGTTGCAACTTGCAAAAATTTCATTATGTTCAAAGAAAACATTTTTACCAGATGTATTAAATGTTTGCCCTATATATATTCATCTATCAGAGGCTGTGGAAGAGGAAAAATGAACGAAGAACCCTTTCCTTTGATTTCTTTTCTTTTTAAAATATTGATTCTTATCTTTCAACATGTCAGCAATGACTTGGGGTCTGTCAAGAGAAAAGTAAGAGGTGCTTTCTACCTTGCATGTAATACAGTAAAATTTAATTAATGATTTTTAGTGAGCCAAAGGAACCACACCAATGTCTTTTGCGCTCATTTCCTTCATAAAGTCACTGCATTCCAGTTTGAACAATGTGGTATTTTCAAATGTAAGTCATTATCAAATGTATAATGTAGGTCATTATCATTATTACTAACTGCAAATATGTAACCAGCTGATCCTGGAAAGTTTGATGCAATTGCTTTTAGAAAGAAAGCATGGTTCTGCCTATAGGTTTTGTTCTTAACAACACCTTAGTTCATGACCTTAAGCACTCTGACGGCAGTAAATGAAACTCTGACAGGCTGAGCTTTTTGAAGAGTAAGCTTAAATGTTGCACAGAAGAGCATTATCAAGACTGTTCTGAAACCTTTTCTGATCTACCCAAACAAGGGAATGTACTTCACTGCTCTGTCTTGAAAGACCTAATTGACTTCCATGATGTCACTAAGCTTACTGCAGGAGAGGAGGCGATGATTATGGAAGGCAATATGTATAATGAAAAGCTTAACTAATTCCCTGGAACTAGAAACAATTAAAACTCTTAATTACCAAAGAAGCCAGGCAAGCGACCCATAATTACAGTGGCTTGAATGTTACAGGAAATAAGTGTATTAGGTCTTCCTGGAGTCTTTCTTGCTACTGACACTTATTGTAAGTAGCACAGCAGCATTTTTAATGGATAACGAAAGGTTTACAGAAGTTCACACACAAAATGGATTTATTAATACATAGAGATGTTATAAACTCTTCACTGTCCTGGCCCACCCACACACTAAATTTAGAGACATGTAAGCAGCCAAGTTCTTTCCCATTTTGCATAAGTATTGCAACATCAGCATCACTCCAACTGAGAGACAGATGAGATTTATACAGACTTCAGCTGAGATTCTGGCTGCTTCTCTGCATTATTGCCAAAACTTTTGTCACTGATCAATACTACTGCTATGAGATCTCTCAAAGGTCATACCAATATAGGACAGTTCTCACTTTGAAATGAACTAAATGCTTAAAAAAGTAAAGTAGTAAAGTATATTAATTTATATTTCACTCTATCAATCTAGAAAAAAGAAAAATTAATCACTTAACCAAAGGAAGAAATAATAAGATCACTGCAGCATCTCATTACCTCATTTTCCTGCATGAAATTTAAGAACATGAGGAAAGAGTTTTAGTTAGGTTCTTGGTATGTACAGCAGGCCCTCTCTAATCTATATACTGCAAATGTTTAGATGGAATATTTGTGTTACTAACATGGATATCCATAAGTGTTATTGCTCTAAATGATAGCCAAGAAGCCTGGAAGGATAAAACATTAAAATCAGTTTTGAAATTAAGATTTTGGAAAACCTGTGAAGATAACATATATATGCATAGGAAGTGCTTATCGAACAAATATCCTTTACCCCATATGACAGCATTATATCAGCTCTAAAACAGAATGAAGGATGAAATAATATGACGATAAATAAAGATGCCATAATTTAGACAGACAGAACTCGTCCCCAAATTAAACACTACCATCTATTTCTCTATAAAGAAAGAATGAAGAGAAATTTTTTATCACCTGTCCTCAAATGACACAGAAACATTTGGTATCATAATGTGAGATGTTTAAGGCTTCTTATGGATTGCATATTATACTCTGTAACTTCTTTATTTATCATTGATCTTTTTCCTCTTCATGATGAAACCAACAGCTCAAAAGCATGATGAGTTATTTGTAAAATTTGCACTCTAGAAACATTTGGTAACCTTATACATTACTTTAATTATACATGCACAGTGTAGTCTTCTATAAGGACTAAATCAAATTCCATAATATCACTAAAAAAGTCCCAAAACAGGCTGCAAAAAGAAATTCACCAAGTACAGCCAATCACATGGATTTCAGAATGATACTGCTAATTTCTGTGAACCAGAAGGTGCTCAGGACTTTCATTCCTACAAAGAATTTGTTGACTTTTCACAGCCAAAAGTATTTTTACTTTTCTCTTTGTGACAAACTAGCCCATACTCTGTTGTCAAAATTCAAAACTATTATCTAAGAAATAAATTATCAGTCTGAAAGATACTACCACAGCAGTCATGGTTTGTGTTTTGTTCAACAGCTTTTATCTCTTTTCCCTTGCTCAATTTTTTTCAGATTTTCAAAATAATTCATTACTGACCAACTGTGTTAGTGGTGTTAGTGACCCAGAAATTTTCAAGAACGATAATATAATTCAGAATACTACACAGACCCAACTATATCCCACAGAAAATGTTGAGATGCTGAAAAGCTGCTGTTTGTCATTTATGAGAGGTAGTGGAAATTCACAAAAAGAGAGAGGAAACGTGACCCATTTACCACTAGAGTTACTTAAACGTTATTGAATAAATCCACTTTAGGTGGCTGCAATATTTTCAGTTTTGGTCTCCTACTGTGTTAATTCTCTGATGAATTAACAAAAATTAAATAACTTGATTAATGTTTCTCTCTTAATCTTTGGACTTACATTCCTTTCAGAAATAGTTGGGAAAAGTCTCAATAATGAATACAATAATGAATTACACTTAATTTTGTTTTAAGGACATGTGCCAATTTGACTAGCCAGGGATAACAAAATCATATTAAATATGCTGTCAAGAAAGTCATGCAGCTTACAGACCTATAACTTAGTTCCATTAAAGAAAATGAGGAGTAAGCCAAGATGTTTTTAAATGCTATAACAAAAGAACAAACAAGCTAGAAACTTAAAATCAAACGAATTAAGCACCAGTGTATCCAGAATACTAACTACCAGCCACCATTCTTTATGAGTTAACGATTCATATTAAGAACTGTTTGGAAATTATATGCACATATGCTTTTTAATTCAGATTTTTAATAACCAGCTTCTTGGGGTATGTTGCAGATCAATATAAGAATCAAATTATTTACTATAAAACTTATAAAACAAAATAATTAGCATAATTTTAAAAAAAAGGAAGTTTGTTACATTTGCACATAATTAGATCACTCTGCATTTCTAGCTCTTGCATAAATGCCACTTTACATTTCAGCCCACACCAGTAGCTCCCCTCTCACAAACCAGTTCACAGAACATTATCTTAAGGAAGGCCAGAAGGAGGAAAATGGTTTTGATGGGGAAGAAGGAGGAGAAATTTCTAATTTCTTGCTTGTTTTCAAGACTCAATCAAGTGAAAGAAAGTGCCTCTGTGAGTGACGGTCAGCCCCAGACACAGCGGCTCTGTGAGGCAGGGAGAAGGTCACATTTACATGCGGGGTTACTCTGATCATTCCGGATGG